TAACAAACATTATTTTGTTCTCTAAATAAAAGGGATATGATTGGTGGAGCCAGCATATTGTTTTTAAATGTTTAGCATCTGCTGAACGTCTGTAATTGACAGACCTAACTGCAGATCAATTTGGCAGACTTTATGCAGATATTCTGCAGATAATCTGCAGATAATCAGCAGATAATCAACAGATATTCCACAGATAATCTGTAGATAGTCTGTAGATTTTTAGCAGACTGTTTGCAGATCTGTAACAGACTTCTTGGCAGATCTGCAGCAGATCAAAAACAGATCTGCCCGTTTCGTACGGGTATCTTCATGCTTTACTGTTCTTACAGTGTCTGGAACCAAAGCAGTCTTTCCTCTGTACTGTTTTCTTGCATCATGCTATCCTGCTGATCTCGCGATGTTGTAGACTTGATGGTGTGTCTTCACATAGCACTTGCTGGCACATCTTGCACTTTGATTGGTTGTCAGTTCATGCTGAGATTGGCTGTTTGGTTGTTGTGTCTCCGTTCAGGGAGTTTTCTTATTGTTGGTATTCACACTTCAGGGATTCCTTTACCACTGTCCCTATTAATGTTATTAGGGTTGAGCTGAATCTAAATGGCTTCCTTGACTCTGCATATAATTATACCAATGGGGGTCTCTATTTACTCATTCAACATCTTCCTATCCAAGGTGATAACTGTTCTTGTGTGCATATTCGGCAATCTCTTGTGTTCTCTTTAATTCTTTCTTGTAGAGGTCTTCCTGTTTCTTTTATGTAGACTTTGTCACACTCGCTGTAGGGCATCCTGTAGACAATAAATTCTTGTCGGCCAGGAGGAACTTTGTCTTAGGGGTGCACAAATTAGCTATGTAGTGTTGCTTCTGATGCGAAGGGAGTTTGTATGCCATGAAGGCAGCAGCAAAGGGTGTGAGAAATGCCTTGGAAGACCATTTGTTCAATGGGCTTACAATCATAGTGTTTATAACAGACTTTCTTCATGCTTCAATTTCTTTCTTGTGTCTGGAACCAATGCATTCTTTTCTCTGCACTGTCGCCTTATCTTACAGATACTTTGGAAGATCTTTTGGTCATTGGGCTGCTTATCATTGTGTTGTCATAACATGTATCAAAGAGGTCTTGTTTGTCTCCATTTGGGTGTCTAGAATTACTTTATTCTTTCATCCTCAAACCTTGGAACTACCCAAGACTAAATTAGTGCTTTTTACATGAACCCCTGATGTAAATAGTCACTGAATTTTTATATTTAGTTTAATCATTTTAGAGGGGCACAGGGGCTAGATCGACCATACTATAGTATTACTTTGTTTCATATATATATTATATATATATTGCACAATGTGTTTAGGTATTGGCATCACCTTTTCTAATGTTTCATTAATCCATCTCTGGCTTCCATGAGATGATAGCAATTAAGAAGGAAGCAAACTGGCCAATACCTAAAACTCTCTCATACAAGTCGTTTCTACAGTCTTTTCTACATGTCCTGAAGTGATCATGTTCCTTTATCTTATTTCATATTCTATTCATTTTTCCACTGTCAATTATGTTCTTTTACATTGCGAAAAGA